CCCCCCCCCCGGGTTGGGATGCCGTCCCCCCCCCGGGTGCATCTCTGTGTGGCATGCTTGAGACCCCAGAGAAGTTCTTTTTAAAAAGTCATCAGGAAATACCCAGCCCACGTGGCCAATGGACAATGAGAGCAATGAAAGATCGTCAGGCCTCCTTATCCACGGGACTGGTATCTGCGAGTTCACAACCCAAACCTATTAAAAATCGTGAAAGCAAAGTCCTAGAAATAAGTAGTTGGCAGGAGATGACCAGAAGGGGCTGCAAGAGGGAGCCAGAGACCATGTTACGGAGAGTGTTTGCTATCATCTGCCTGTTTCGGCATCCGCGGGAGGAGTTTGGAACCCATCCCTCGCAGATATGGGGGCCCTCCTGTAACCCTATTAAAAATGGCAGATGGCCACAATCCGGTGCTAATGCAACACCTTGGAGGGTGTGTGTTTCCGCCCACATCATCCACGATACCCAATCGCCAGATTATATCTCAATGTGTCTTGATTTACAAGTAACCCTTATTTAAAAAAATAAAAATGGCATTTTTCATGGGAAAGCCATCCTACCACCAGTGGGAGCCACTGCCACTCCTCAGCCACCTCCCCAACAAGGTCTTTATGCCACCAAGAGGGACTTGGCCTTTTTTGCAAGCCACTGGTCACTCACCATCGTAGTCAGAAACGGCCGCCTCGCTCCTTTGCTGGCTACACGGGAGAAGCAAGGTCAGCAGCAACAGCAGCAACGGCATGCTTGGGCCCAATCCACTCAGCTCTGCCTGGTACCTCGGCGACCAGGCGAGCCAGTCTCATCCGATCGCCCTGGCAGCGCAACCTCCCATTTCCTGCCGGAGCCTGTGGGATTCCCAGAGAGATGCCAGCCCATCCTTTCCGGTTCTTGGCTCTTGCAAGAAGGAAGTCCACACTTCCGGGACCAAAGCCGGACTCTGGCAGAAGCCCTGGGGAGGGGAAAAGGAGCCAGCCCTCTCAGGGGTCTCTGGCCAGAGACGAGGGGAGCCCAGCAGAGAGGAGAAGGAGCCCCGAGGGGAGAAAATCCATCCGGAGACGACGCTTTTCTTTCCTCGCTTCAACAGACACATGGTCTCCCCTCTGCTCTCTGAATATTTCCAGGGATCCGACATTTGGAAAGTTGCTTTAGAAAAGTTATTCATTCGAGCATAAAGGCGGCACACTGCTCACTAGCTCAGGGGTTTAGATCTCTGGCTGAGGTTGGGAGTTCGAAACCTTCAACAGGGCCTCCTTAAACAGGGGCTGGACTGGATGATCTCGGGGATTTCCTTCCAGTTCCTGCCGTTCTAAGATGACGACGACAGTGAACACACTTACAAACGAGCTTTGAATATATCCCAGAAAATGTAAAACCGAGATGCATGGGTATTAACAATGAGAAACTCAGCTTCCTTTTAAAAACGAGGGTGCTTTCCACCTCTTAGAAATTGTAGCTATCGCTTCTTTTAAAGAGGAGGCACCGTTTCCAAAGGACGCAGACGTTCCGCTCTATTTTAAAAGGAAAATGGATACGTTTGTGCTGGTTCCCCACATCCTTCCTGGTGCTGAGCAAACACCCAGAAGGAGCTCCCCGCTCTCTTCTCGACGGCTCTCATCGGCAGCACACAGCTTTCCGAGCCCCACCGCAAGATCCTGGTTGCCACCACCGATAGCATCCCGGAAATGACATCCGGCGGCCCTCGAGGGGGACAGCGAAGGAAGTGCCAGAGATTCCTGTCCCTCGATGGGGCCTTTCTGAGTAGCACTCATCCCATGGTTTTCCAACAAAGAGAAATACCTTAACTGCAGGTAACATAGACAGAAATCTTACATTTTCAAGGGACCCTCGAGATCATCCAGACCAACCCCGATCAGGGAGGTCCAATGGGGAAATCGAACCCCAAACCTCTGGATTTGCAGATGGAGACTGTAAACCGCTGAGCAATCCAGCTAAACGGCTCAGCCCTAATTGGGACATTTCACATCATCCTCTTAGAACGGCAGAGTGACCCTCGAGATCATCCGGGAGGCCCAAGCCGGCATCAAACGTTGTGATTTCACTGGTTCCACAAGCGGAGGATGATGTCAACTTAATTTCACAGTGCTACTTGTTCGCTAAAACGGCTAGCCCACAGAATCAGGGGGACTTCACGAAACCCGTTGGATTTACAAGTAACCCTTATTTATTACGGTCAGATCCAGATCCAATGCTTACGGCACACTTTTGCTGCTCACGTGCAGACTCAAGACTCGCGCCGTATTTAGGATGCTAATCTCAATCCATTTGACGGATTGCATCCGGGCTACAAAATTAAATCTCAGGCAGTCAGCCTTGAGTCGGCCTCTGCTTCTAAGGCCGGTCTCCTCAGCGCAAAGCAAACCTGTGCCCATCCAGCCAGAGATGAAGCCAGAGGTCCTCTCGGCATTTTTAAAATTAATATTTTATTTTACTTGATGTGTGCAAATAAATATTTGTTTAAAAACTACATTCAGAGAGTTGGCAAAGCAAATACAAGCGGAAAGAAATCAATGTTGTTTTTTTAAAGAAGAAGCAAGAAATCCTTCGGGGAAGCAGAAGAATGAACTGGTCCAGCAACGGACCACGAGCTTCCAACAGGCCTCCCAAACACCCCCCCCAATATGTAGGAATCAAGAAGGCCCCGCTCTGTCCTGCTCGGATGATAAACGAACTGACTTATCAAAGAAAGGACACGTAAAGATGGCTTGAAGTACACTTTTTAACAGGTTGAGGGAAGGAGGGAGGGGACCGGTATCCTCAAAACTTCAAAACGCCCTCAAATCAAAGCACACGTTGAAGCCACGAGCGTGGCCGCCGCCGAGGAAGAGGCGCTTCGCAAAATTTGGCACAGGCAGACGGCTCCCAGTTCGGGACCGCCGGAAGAGGCGGAGGTGGTATCAGGGAGGAGCAGTTCTCGGCTGGAGGGGGGGGCAGAAGACGGAGGGGTGGACGGTTTCAGGGGGTTGGGTGTAGAAGGCCGTGCACTTCAAAATGGCATTGAGGTCCTGGGGAACAGTGGCTTGTCCGAGGAGGCGATAAAGGGCTTCCGTCCCTAGTACAACGGCTTGCGAAATACGATGCCGGTCGTTACGGCCCATCAGGCTGCGTTGCAGGCCTCCTCTGCCCTCCCCTGGTGTCGGCCTCCTCTTCTGGAAATGGATCCTTTCCATCATCCTCAGGACTATGGCAGGGAAGCCACCCCCACCCCTCTGCCCCGCCAGGTTGAGAGCAAAGGAAGGGCCCAGCGATCGTTTGTACGCTCTTCAACCTCTAAGAAAACATCGGCCGGTGGAAGGAGAATAGGCGCAGGCAGGCAGGAGGTTACTTTAAGGGTCTTCTTGGGTTTTTTTTTGCACAACTGGATTTGAGAGCAAAAGGCAGTGGGGCATAGTGGGTAGGGGGGGTGAGCACGGGTGTCTTAATCCAGGCAACCCCCAGGGAGGGGTGGGGGAAGAAAAGGCCTGGTTTTCAAAGCCTCAGTTCAGCTTCGACGCACGGCGAGCAGACACGAATGGCGTGCGGTGCATTTTTCCGTGGCAGGATCCGTCCAGGATCCGACGGCCCCCTTCCCTGGATCTTCGGGAGTTTTCCAAGCGAGCAAAAAACTTCCGGCTCTCCCACCTTCCTGGCCCTGCTCCTCTGCAGTTCAATCCTAACCTCTGACAAACGAGCGCCCATGCTGGTCCTGCCACGGAGCCCCTCCTCTGCCCATCGGTGGCACAAGACGGTGTGTGTGTTGGGGGGAAGTCAATCCGCCGTTCATAGTCCCCTCCCAAGGTGAAACGCTGGCGGCACCAAAAGTCCACGAGGGCCGTGGCGGGCGAGGCTGGTGGGAAGTCAGGGGGAGGTGGGCAGGCGGCTGTACTGGACCCGGTAGCGGCTGACGGGCACCCCGTGAATACTGAGCGTCTCACACGCAGTCTTGCAGGGGACCAGGTCCCCGTCCTCGTCCCCCATCAGCCAGTCCTGGACCAGTTTGGAGGCCTCCCGGCTGACGTGCCTCCCTAGCCAGCGACGGTGCCACTCCTTGAATCGCTGGTGGTGGCGCAGCAAGACCACCGGTTGGGCCTGCAAGAGACGAAGGCAGCGGGGAGGTCAGCAAACAGACGGGAATGAGAAAGGCGCCGGGAACATCAACAGAAGGAAATGTTACAGTGGGACATCCGTTATCCCCGGATTAGCTTACGCGTGGTCTGGAAAATGCTAAAAGGAAAATACCAGATATACAATAGGGCCCAAGTATTTGCAGGACCAGTATCCACTGATTCACTCATCCCTCCCCCCCAGCCATCTGGAAGTATTAAAAGCATTAAAAGGAAAATACTCTAGATAGATAGATAGATAGATAGATAGATAGATAGATAGATAGATAGATAGATTTCTAAAGATGAAGCTACCAGAACTGGCCACTGGAGGGAGCCAGAGACCACACTATGGATGGCGTTCGCTATTTTAATAGTACAGTATTTGCTAGGATCCATGTTTTCCAGCATCCATCAGATGGAGGGGGGGACGGGGGGTTGGAACCAATATTAGAGGATATCAGATACTACCATGCAAGTTTAGAAGGAATGACAGAAAGAACTGGGCCTGTTCAGCCCTCAGTTTGATCGGCTTGGATTTGGGTCCTGGCCTTGAGCAGGGGGTGAGACTGGATGGCCTTCTGGGTCCCCTTCCGGTTCCCTGGTTCTAGGATGTTCTCATTTCTGACCTAGTGTCGTGAGTATAGATGAAGATCCGTAACCTGAGGGGCTAACTGTAGCTGAGGAGAATTCTAAGCAATTAGAAACACAAATAGCTGAATCGCGCTCAGATTCTCCTCCCCTAGTAGACAGGCTGAGGGCCAGGCTTCGGGGAACGAAAAAGTCAAGAGGCTCGCTTGAAGGCTGCCCGCAGAAACATCCGGTCAACTAGCCCTGAGTTCTGACAGGATGAAAAGGCTTCCAGCAGTTCAAGGACTGTTTTTACTATATAAGCAGCTCCCAGATGGCTGGAAGGTCATGGAAGCAACAAGTCAAACCTGTGGCTTGCATCCACGCTCCTCACTACCTTGTTCTTTGGACCTTTGGCTTTGGACCCTGACCCTGGACTATGTTGTGTGATTTGGCCTTGGGTATTTGGATATCGGCTCTGCATTCTCTGAACTTCTGACATAGGACTGGCTTATTGGACTCTGCTGTTGTAACCCCTGGGAACATGACACCTACCGAGGGCTTTGGAATCCCTCCCCTTCCCCACCCCCGGGAATCTCGCCCATAGGACTGGCTTATTGGACTCTGCTGTTCTAACCCCTGGGAATATGACACCTACCGAGGGCTTTGGAATCCCGCCCCTTCCCCACCCCCGGGAATCTCGCTGCGCCACCCACAGACCCACCTGCTTGGCTCGGAACAGGGCCCCCCGGCGGTACATATAGTCCTCGGCGTTCATGACAAAGAGCATCTTGTGCGTGTTCAGCCGGAACCTGCAGTCCACGTTGGAGGCGCTCTCCACGCCGATCAGCTGCTTCCACGAGCTTTTGGCCTTGTGGCGCAAGGCCTGGACCTGCTGGTACTGCCACCGCCGGAATTTCTTCAGGTTCCTGAGAAGGGAAGAGGGCCAAGACACGTCACACCCACCGGGGAGGGGGGGAAGAGAGAGAAACGAGGGGAGCGGATCTCTGCCATGCTGGGGATGGAAAGGGAGACTGTTTGACCCCACCCCACCCTGGCATGAGGCAGCTGGGCTCGCTCCTTCTCAAGAGAAGGCATCATTGCTGGGGATGGAAAGGGAGACTGTTTGACCTCACCCCACCCCGGCATGGGGCAGCTCGGCTCGCTCCTTCTCTTGAAGGCATCGTCCTCTGGAGAAAGGCTCCTATCCTGCGCGCGTTGCAACCCAAAGCAGGGGAGGAAGAGTGTCAAAAAAGCAACCCACCTCTGCAGGAAGACGGGTTTCAAGAGAAAGCCTTCGTTCTGGCTGTCCTGGCCCCCCTCAAAGCCGACGTACTGCTCCACATAATTTACCAAGTGCTGGAAGAGAGGCGGGCACGTTTATTTCCGGCCAGAGGGCATCTGAGAGACCAGGACGTTCTCCCCCCCTCCACCTCCGCCACTCTTCCCAACCCTTGGTGGCCCCCAAACCCCTTTGGACGGCCGACGGAGACTCACCTGGACCTCAGTGGGATCCTCCGTCTGGGTTTCTTCAGTGTCCAGCAGCTCAATCGTCATGACCACTTGGTCCTTCCGCTGGAGGAACATCACCTGCCGAGAAGGGGAACCCTTTCACACGGGGAGCATTTCCACTACGCTTCATCTGCCTCAAGTCTGTATATCCACGTGTGGAGTGGTGGATAGCGGGACGATGGCCTCGGTTCGAATCCCTGCTTAGCCCTGGAAACTCCTCACTGGGGAAAATATCCCACCTCCTCCGAAAGCCCTTTTTTTGGGGGGGGCCTCGAAGTCAGCCCTAACTTCGCTGCACAGAACATAACGTCACATAAGAAAACATGGCACAGCACATAACAAGACAGAGCAGAGTAGGGCTCCGTCGTACCTTGAAGCAGTTCTCATCCGCCATGCAGTGCTCCGCCTTCCACTGGTAGCTGGTCTCCTTGGCGGCCCGCACGCACTGCGAAGAGAGGTTGCCGCCCGCCGCCCCGTGCTTCCGCTCGGCGAGGTGGAGCTCGACTACCTTCAGACACACGTCGTCACTCACCAGGTGATGCAGCTGGGACCCGGGGCCGGGAAGCGGAGGAAGGAGGGCCAAAAAAACGGACCAGGTGAGTGCCCCGGCTGACATCAGAGGGAACAAGTTCCCACCCACCCCACTGCACACCCACATGTAAGATGCCGGAAAGAAGAGCACAGGCCGTTCTGGAGGATCTCCTCTGCTTGGGTGCCCAGCTGTCCTTGGACTACGACTCCCAGAAGCCTCCTGCACCCAGGATTTCTGGGCTTTGTAGTCCAAGAACATCAGAGGACCCAGAGTTGGGAACTGTGGCTCTCTAGACCAATACTCTTTTTTCTAGTTTCCCCCCCTTCCCCTTCTACCAATGCCATGCATCGCGTTTGTTATTATCCGTGGTTTTCTAAATCCGTGGATACGGGGGTCCCACTGTCATTGGAATGGGTCTACCGAGGGGTTCAAGCGGTGACTCTCTGCAACACACGTGTGGATCCAACGGATCCACTCAATTTGGGGCTCCTGTTTGGGTTCTTGTACACGCCTCGGAGGAGCCGGTCTAAGGTTGCCGAAGGGGGGGGGGTGGCCTTTGCAGCGACACAGGCCTGGTCCTGGAGCAGCTGGATTGGGCTCAGGGACACGAGGCATCCCTCTTCTATGAGGCCTCCAACGTGGGAAACAAAGGCTGCCGGGATTGAGCAGACCCCTTGGCTTCTGCTGGCCTTGAGGCCAGGCAACGGTGGCCACCCCTGCCAGGCACTCCCTGAAACAGCCGCAAGGGTGTCCCCTTGCAGGGTAGCCCCTTCCCCAATGGACCGGTTTCCTGCACTACATGCACTGCCTCGGAGCCTCCCCCCCCCAGCGCCCTCCAGCCTTTCGCAGAGCAGCCCCGCTCTCACCTGCCGGACGATGTTCTGCACCAGCTTGTCCATGGTGAAGCCGATGTAGGCGTGGATGGTGAACATCTCCCTCAGGGTGTCCTCGTACTGGACGGGGTCAATGTTGCCGTCCAGGAGATTCCTCACCAAGTCCAGGAAGGCCGGGTAATACTCCTCGAGCTCTACTTCACCTGGGCAGGAGGGGAAACACGCCGGGCGTCACAGGAAAAGCCTGCAGGAGAGCTCAGGGGTTTGAGGCTGAGCGGCGCACGTCGCTTGCAGACCTCCTCCTGCCTCAACGACAGGCTCCTGCACAACCCCAGTGCGGTCACACACCCCCGGCCCTCTCTGGGCCTCTTCCAGGCTGCCCGGGGGCCCTCTTACTTGGCTGCTTCAGCCGCAGCTCCATGGCCGGGTCGCTGGCCCGTTCCTTCCGGCCTTCGCACAACAGCTTCTCCCGCTCCTTCTCCGTCCGATATTCCAGCAGCTGCTTCTGCGCCTGGCGGTAGATCTTGAGCAGCCTGGAGCACAGCGTCTGGTGGAGGCGGAGGAAGAAGTACCAGTTGTTGTTGGCGAAAAAGAGCGTGTAGACGTTGTCAAGGGAACGATGTGATCCGGCCGACGGTGCCGGCGCCACGCCCTCCGGGTTCCCCTTCTCCTTATCCGGGCTGGTGGGCGGTGGCGGGGGGACGTTCCTCTTGCGCAGCTCGTGGCCTTCCACGGCCGGCGGCTTCTCCTCCGCAGCCACGGAGGGAGTGGTGGCTCGTTTCCGCAACTCATGCGCCTCCCCCAGGCCGGGCGCCTTCTCCGCGGGGCCGGGCGGTGCACCGGCTGTGCTCCTCCTCCGCAAGTCACGGGTGTCCAGGGGGTGAGCCTTAGGGCTCCCTTTCTCCTCCTCGCTGGGGGACTCTTCGGGAAGCGGCTGCTCGGGCAGATGGGAGAAAAAGAGTTCGAGGACAAAATGCTGGACAATGTGGCGGATCGTGGCTTGGTCTTCCTTCTGGATGGTGGGCTGCCGTTTCACGTAGTAGGTGATGAGCGAAGCCGCGTCGTCCAGGATCTGCTTGTCTTCATAGACGAAGATGAGGTGGGGCTCATTCGCGGCCCCTCGGCCCTCAGAGTGCTGCTCCTGGTGCTGGAGAGAAAACAGAGGGGGCCAATGAAGAAACAGAAAACTGTGGGGGGGGCGCTCTTTCATGTTTTTCCCACTCAAAAGCCTACAACTCCTTTGGCCCAAATCTGGGAGTTTTGCAGACCGCAAACGCCCACCTGCAGGTGCAACGTATCGCTCGCCTGGAGCAGGGCCTAGCTTTGAGGTGGCCAGGCCTTCTCCGGCCTTTGCTTCCTGTGGCGGCAGTGAAAAAAGCTCTACAGAGAATGCCCCCTGGAAAGCAACAACTCCCAGGAAGCCCTGTGGCACGTCCCGTCCTGTTTCGCGAGACATTAACAACAGGAAGCGAAGGCCGGAGAAGAGCTAGGCCCTCCTCCAGGTGAGCGAAAAGCAGGGAAATCTCGGCCTGGCAATTGCCGCCTAAAACACCCCCCAGAGCTCTTCCCTTCAGCACTCACTTCGTCGTAGACGCTCTCGATCTCATTCAGCAGGCTCTTGGAACGCAGCGCCTTGGTGTCATTCTGCTTGAAGTTCACCGCCTGGTGGTCCAGAGACTTCAGGTAGGCTTTCTCGTACTGCTCCCGCCAGATCTTGTTAAAGCCCTGCTGGGCCTCCCGCCACTCCTCCTCCTTGGCCTTCAGCCTACAACAGGGGCCACACGACAACACCTAGGGTTGTGAACCTCAGTCCTCAAGGCTACCCTCCCGTCCGGCCCTGACTCCACCATCCTCTTGGCATGCAGGGCAAGGAGTCTGAAGGGGAGAGACTCCTGTATCCACAGGGGGAGGAACCCCTAGCAGATGTGGACTGCAATTTATGTGAGAGGCACCCGCCACCCCCAAAATGCAAGGGTCTCTCACATAAATTGCAATCCTTCTAAGAATCTTAGAATGGTCAAGCTGGAAGGGACCCTCAAGATCATCCAGTCCAGCCCCCGTGAGGAATCGAACTCCCAACCTCTGGGATTCACCAACGAAGAGGGGTAGGGGTAGAGGGGTAGGGGTAGAGGGGTAGGGGGAGAGGGGTAGGGGCAGAGGGGTGCGTTACCTCTTCAGGACCACCGGGAGGGCGGTGAGAGGGTTCTTCTTGAGGCCCTCGATGACCTCGGGGGCCTTGTCTCCATAGATGCGGTAGATGGCCCGGCGCTGGATGACCTCCGAGGTTCCCCCGAGGCAGTCGTCCAGACGGAACTTTTCCTGATCCTCCGGGGACATCCGGCCCAGCTTTTTCTGCACGCTCTCCAGCACGCGGATTGTGGCGAGGTTGGTCTCCAGAACCACGTCCAGCTGGGGGAGGTAAGCCCAGGCCTCCTGAAAGCCGTCCCCGAGGGTCTCGCTTCCCCCATGCAAGCCGGAATTAAAGCCCCCCCGGCTGACCTCGTCGGCTGCTTTGTTCTCCCCATTAGGACTGCCACAAATGGTGCCCACGAACAACACTAGGACCCCCATATCCATGGGAGATCAGTTCTAAGCCCACCCCACCCCCAGGGATGCTGAACAAGATAACCACAATCTCTATTTTAATAGCAAATGCTATACACAACATGGTTTGGGGCACTCTCTAGCACCCTCTTCTGATAGCTTCATCTTTAGAAGTATGCACTTCTACGGTTTGTTTTTTCTCAATATTTTTCAGCCTGTAGATAAGTGAATCAACAGATACCGATCCCGCAGATACAGTGTCCCGCTGTCGTTCCAACCTGCTCCTCCCCGGTGTGACTTTATGAGCTCAGTTGGCCAACAAGGAGGGTCCTGACTAGTTCCTCAGGTTCTCAGGCCGAGAAATCAACTCAGCTGGGACAATCCGCGGAGCCATGGACCACCACCACCACCCTGGCTGGATTTCGGCCGCTGAGCACCGACCCCCGGGCTGCCCCACTGAGGAGACGCACCTCGAAGCGTTCGTCCTCACACCGGTGGAGCTGCTCCTCGTAAGGGGTTTTCTTGGAACTGACAAAGGTGGAATCCTCCGACCAGGAAGGGAACGAGACCCAAGTGTCGTTCAGGACCTGCGGGATGAAGAGGCTCAGGAAAAGCTCGGCCGGCCCCGGGGCCTCCTTTTTCCCACCCGGGGCCAGGAAGGCTCCAGAGAGCCCCATCATTCTCTTTGGACCACTTGCGGGCCCCGACCCGGAAGCGCAGAGAGGGGAAGGAATCCCCCACCTCCTTGCACACGGCGGTCCGGCCACTGCACTTGGGCTGTTGGTATGTCTTGGGCAGCGCCCGGTAGCTGGAGCCGATGCGCTTGCAGGAGGCGTAGTCGATTTCGCGACACATCCCGTCCCCCGAGCGGTCACTCATGGGGGAGGCGAAGGAGAGCTCCTTCACGCCCAGGAAGGACTTGAACTGGGCAAAGAGTTCCGGGAATTTCCTGGGGAAGAAAACAGGGAAGAGAAATACAAGAGATGGGGGTCGGTTCCAGAGAGAAGGACTCCCACTCCCACCTGTTCTCCGCCCTCCCAAGATAGACCGTCTGTCTTCCGGGAATGACTCTCAGCCTCGCTCAGTTGGTGAACGCGACTCCGTCCTCCTGAGGCTCCGATGGCAAGGCGGGCACACTTCGAATCTAAAATCTTTGAGCTTTTTTAAAGGCCACCGCTTCTAAAAAGCCCAAAGGGTTTTAAATGAAAGCATACAGTATGTGGAACTCTCCGCCACCCAAGACGCCTGGAAAACACCTTTCCCTCCTCTATCTGGGCTCCACCAGCAATTGAAGGCTGTTCTCTCCCCGCTGCCTTTCTTCTGTTGTAAATACAGGAGGACCCCTGTATCCACGGGGCATCGGTCCCAAGCCCGGCCGCGGATACCAAAAAACATACAGATCGTAACGAACAATTCTAATAATGAACGCTCTACATAGCATGGCCTCTGCCTCCATCTAAAACCGCTACAATTTTCCTTTTAATAGTTTCAGACAGTGGCAAAGTAAATGAGTAGATACTGGTCCCGCAGATATGAGGTTCTTGCTCACCCAAACCGTAACTACTCTTACCCCAGGAAAGGAGTGACCAACTGCAGCAACTCCGAGCCCGAAACCAGCTCCTGGTTGAAGAGGGCGATGCAGCGGAGGAAGTTCTCGTAGACTTCCTGGCTTTTCAGGACCCGACGGACCTGCCAAACAGGGATCTCAGAATAATAATAGCCTTAGAACTGCAGAGCTGGAAGGGGACCCTGCCCCCCCTCAAGATCATCTAGTCCAGCCCCTGCCAAGGAAGCCCAGCAGGGGATTCGAACTCCCAGCCTCCGGCTCCCTTCCGCGCTCAACCCACAAACCTTGTCAAAGAAGGAAAACTCCTGCAGGGTGCCGTATTTGCCCACCGTGGCCACCGAGAGATCCTTCGTCCCTCGCAACTTGATCTTCTTCTGTCCGGAGAAGAAAAAGCAATTTAGATCGGTAGTTTATGTACGCTCACTAAAGGAGCCTGGAAGTTTAATGATTTTTTTAAAATTATTTTTTGCGGAGGGCAAGGACCCAGACTCGGACCGAAAGACTGGCCAGCGTCCCTAGTTTCAACCCACTTTCCATTTGTTATAAAAACGGCACATCTCGCATAACCAAAAACGGACACAATCTGGAAAGTTCCTTTTTCACCAAAGGACAAAAGTGGGGTGTTACGGTTTGAGACTGTTCTGAAACTACTTCACGGGAAGCAAGACTGCTATGAACCACCCCTTGAACCATGGAGTGCAGGCCTTCTAGGTTTTTACATCAAAGGGCAAAACTCTTTATTTCAATGGCTCGCTGGACACAAACAAGAACCACCCTAAATCAGACTGCGGTCAAAAGACGCTCAGGGATGGTGCTTAAATGCAATGAGAGAAGTTTGGGGAACCCATGCACGCATCATCGCTCAATCAGTGCGTTATCACGCTTGACCCTCTTGTTCAGAGGCTGACACACCGGGGGGGGGGCTCGACCAGCTGCCCCTCCTCGGGCCGCCCAAGGAAAGCAAAATCTGCCCCTCGAGTCTCCGCGTCGCCACCTTCTGGTTCAGTACCTTAGAAGGGCCCGGCCCTGGACGCAGCAAAAGAGGCCGGGAGCGTTTCTTACTGTGTTCCAGGTGCTTCTCGTGGTCCAGTTTGGGGGCTGAGTTTGGATCGCACGGCCCGTTTCCTGTGAACTGAGGCCAACAAAGGGGAAGGGTCAGAACAAGCCAAGGGGTGGGAGGAGATTTTGAGGCCCCGATTGGAAAGCTGGAGAAGTGAGCCAGAGGATGCTGAACCTGCAGATACAGAGGGTCCTACGCTATTTGCTTAGAGGGCTCTGACGGCTGTCAATAGGCCTTGGGGGCAGAATAAAGACCTTTAACCACCACCACCACCACCCCCTCACTCGAGGAAGCCCTCCTACCCTGCCCCTCGCTCTCCTTTCCAGGCACGAGGATCCCAGCCAAGGACGTACCAACGACCTTTTAGCCTCGGGTAGGAACTGCCCAAACTCCGACAGCAGATCCTCCTGGCCCCGGAAGAGGTTAGCCACCTCGGTGAAGACCTCTTCTTCCGACATGCCCCGGAACGGACGCCCCTTCGTGCTGAGCTGCTCCTTCTGAAAAAGAAAAAGGCCTGGCTCAGCACGAAGCTCTCCCGGGAAGGGAGCCAAGCTTTCGGTGGGGGATTTCGGCCTCCCTGCGTAAAAGCTGGGGGGGGGACTGTCGGGGATGATGATGAGGGCAGTGCCCTACCTGGACGGAAAAGGGGGAGGGGAAGAGAGAGGCCAAAGGGGGAGGTGTCCCTGGCAAGGGGGGGCTTTAGGGGTACCCCCCCAAGACACTTCCGCTAACCTACGGCAGCAAGCACAAAAACTGAATGGGGAAGGTGGGTTTCTTCGCCTGCAGGGAAAACTGTACAATCCTCCCTCCCTCCCTCCTGTGTTTGGACTCAAGTCGAATCAGGCTCTTCCCTTTCTTGGGAGGGCAGTGTGACTCCAAGACTAGGCAGGGGGCCCCCGACCAGCCCACGGCCCCTCCGCCACGCAAGGTCTCCCACATCCAGCATGGGCTGTCCACCTCGTACGGCCCATTCACCTGGTACGTGTGAAGGATCTCCAGGAAGGACCGGTAGATTTCCGGGTGATGCAGGAACCGGGTCTTGATCTTGTTCACGTAGCTGATGGCGTTGTTGAACTCCACGGAGTCCGACTCCAGGGGCATCGGAAGCTTGTCGTCCTTGGAAGGGGTGGGTGGGGGCGGCAATGGCTGCTGCCGGAAGTCCTCTGGGCCGTCGCCATGGTTGTAGGCGTTTTCCTGGCAGTAATGGAGCATCAAGCTGCTGCCGGAGAGGGGGCTCTGAGCCGGGTCTAGGGACACCTGGCAAGGACAGAAAAGGGCACCATTGGAACCTATAGATTTGCAGCAGGACCTGTATCCGCAAACCCACTTATCCACCATCCGAAAAGATTAAAAATATTTTAAAAAGAAAAATCCTAGGGATTTGTTTCTAAAGTTGAAGTTAGCAAAACGGAGCGCTAGAGAGAGCCAGAGACCATGCTACGTAGAGCATTGGCTATTAAAACAGAGTTTGCTATCATCCACGTTGTTCAGCATCCGTGGGGGAGCTTGGAACTGGTCCCCCATGGATACAGGGGTCCTTCTGTTGAAAATATTTTTATTGCCTTTCTCCTTAAAAGGATGCGTACATCATTAAGAGCTCAGTATTTAAAGGGGATTTACCAAACATGAGATGATTGTACTGCCCACTCCTTCACTTCAGACATGGCATGCACCAACGCTGGCTATTTCTTAAACCAACCACCCACCCACCCCAATTTAGCCTCTAGCAGCCAGTTCTGGTAACATTCTCTTTAGAAATAATTTTATATATTTCTAGGATTTTTCTTTTAATATTTCCAGGGCATGGATAAGCGCATCAGTGAATACCGATCATGCAGATAAGCCCCCTTCCCCTGTTGTATTTACAGCTCTTTTATTTGAGAGCGGCTCTAGACTCTTTCAGACGGCGGAGATGGTCAGCAAACATAAATCAGTGCCGAAAGCTGGCATCCAGTCCAAAAAGTGGATAGGGGCCTCCGCAGGATCAGCTTGCACCCGTTTCAGAGTCCGCGGGGGACCCTAAATAAAACCCTGTTCTTTTTTCCTCTGCAGTCTTTCGGTCCCATTCTTCCGGCTCGGGGCCTTTCCCCATGACCAGGCCAGCTCCAAACCCCAGGCCTGGCCAGGAAGCGCCCTGTCCTGCCCACCTACCTGGCCAGCCAGCGGCGAGTGGATGCTGAGCTTCCCATTCTTCGGGATCTCGATGCGGTAGCCGAGGGGCAGGAATGCATTGAAGCCGATAATGAGGTCCGGGTGTTCGTGGAAAAGCTGGGAAACGCGGCGGATGACCCCCGGAGTGTCGATGCTGGGGAGCCAAATGGGAGGTACCGTGTGACAGACAAGGAAGGGGAGGCAGTCCTGAGCAAAGGCGAAGGAGGACCTACCAGAGTCACACCTTCGGCTTCCTCCGGGCAGCTCCAACCCACCCACTTTGGCTGCTCCCCACCCATTTCTGAAATCGACCCCAAGGGACTGTCCCTCTTTGATTTCGGGAAACCAGCTAAGCGGGTGTTTTTTTTCAGATTTTGGAAGTAAAGCAGGGGGTTGGACTGGATGGCCTTTGAGGCCCACTTCCAGCTCCATGAATCTAGGTTCCCCCCGGCTTTATCTTACCTCTGGCTCTTGAACTCCTTCATAATTTCCAAGAACCCGTTGTACGTGGCTGGGTCGCTGCCAAAACGGATCTTCACCTGGTCCAGGTAAGAGAGAGCATCTTCCACCTGTGGTGAATCAGGAGAGTGTGTGTGTTATGTGTGTGTGTTTTTTTAAATGAAGGCTGTGTTCTGTTGTTTTTCACTGTGTTTTTAGCATTGATCGCATTGCCTGTTCTTAATACCACCCTTGTTTAATTCTTTTTTTAAACACCCTGCTGTTTTTAGCTTTTAAAGACTGCCTTTTCGTTAGCCGCTTCAGGTTCTTTTCTTTTTTTTTCAGGAGAAAGGCACAAGTATTTTAAATAAATCAATCAATAAGAGGTCGGGACCGAACCCCACAACCTCGGCATCCGTCCCTGCAAGGATGAATTCTGAGAGACTACTGTAGATCCAAACCACCAGCCAAGCGTTCTGCGGAGGGCGACCGCCAGTGCTCAGCCCCAGAGAGGGCCAAATTGTCCCCTGGGCCCAGAGGAAGCTCCATCTGGTGAGGTAAAGAAGTAATCATCTTTACTCCACCATGAAGGAAGGAAGGACACTCTGCCAATAAACTCAAGGCTTATGGTAGCAGCCCCGTGTCTCCCCAACAAGCTCACCCCATGTCGCTCAGAAGTCGGCCTTCCTTCCCGCTCAGGACGAGGGAGGGAGAGTTGGGCAGCTTCCCATCTCCTGTACCACCATCTCTCCCACTTTTCGACCCACAACGTCACACCCACACTCAAACACCCAGCCGCTTCTTTTGAGTCCTGGATTGAGCCCGCAGTTGTAAAACACACCCATTAGGGATTAAAAAGCTGAGCCGTGAAGCAGAGGAAATGCATGAGAAAAGACAAGGCCACTGAGTGAGTCCGGGGTAATGAGAGGGAGAGCAGGTAGGATGATGCCAACACTTCTGAGATGAACTAAAGAATAACTCGCCAGTCTTCTGTGGAGGATCCCTGATTGTTTCTGGTTTCTCTGTTGGGCTGGAAGAAGGAATCCCAATTATCACCTTAGAATGGCAGAACTGAAATGGGACCCTCTGGATTGTCCAGTCCGGCCCCCGTCAAGGAGGCCTCGCAATGGAATTGAACTCGCAACCTCGGGCTCCGGACTTGAACGTGACTCCTTTTGGGGGGGGGGTCCATCCTGCTGTTTGCAATGAGTTGCATTTTTTAAAATTCTCTGTCATTTCATTTCAGGATCGTGAATATTTATTGACTTCTTGGGCCTTGAAGGCAGGATAGTATTTATTTTTTAAAACCACACCTTATGAACGCAAAACTCCAGAATTAGAACCAATTTAAAAGCTAAAAAAGGAAAACCAGCAAAACAAATCCATGGGACTGCCCATTGCCGGAAAGGATAAAAGGAAATTAAATCTGCCTGATCTTTATCTTAAACTCTCTCCTTTTGGGAGGGGCGGGGGTGGGGCAGGTCTGCCTTTAATTCACTTATTATTTCTTTCTTTAAAATAATGTCCTGCCCCGCCTTTCGCCTTAAAAAGGTTCAACTTTTGTTTCCCCTTGGCTGGGAAAGGGGGCAATGGGGGG